TCAATGTTTTGACCACTTACAACAGTTTAATGTCCTGTTATCACCTGAAGCTGTCAACAGTGTCTGACACCCAGCAGACATAAACCAACATTCATCTGCAGTCATTGTCCTGTAAGTCTGTCATTCACATCATGTTTTTGTTTCCTTGTGAGCAAAACAACTGTCTCTTTATGTATGATCACTAGCTAATAGCTAACTTTATCTGTCTTCTGTATAGAGCCGCGCAGGTAGTGTATTGTAAATTTATATGAGCTTTAATGCTTTGTCTGCTGCTGATGAAAATAAAATTGTTCAGAGAGGACGGCGTTTGCCAAAACTTTAAATTTATGGGGCTGCAAAAATCAAACCAATGAGCTGAGAGATGCTAAAAGGCTCAGACCTTTGAGAAATCTATCGATAATTTATCACTGCAGGCAAAAACAACTCCATTATTTTTTTGCTATTTTACCAATTGTTCAAAAAATAACAAGTACGGCTTTAATTTTTTCGCTGTGTATGTTTACAGTCATTAACCCGACACCACTGGAGCACAGAAAATAACCAGATAGTAATCAATGTGTTTTTACAGGTTGTGCTTCCTGGCGAAACGAGGTGAAAGGTGACAGCTGGACTGTGCTATGAGGTCATAGTTTGTGTGTTAAGTGTTACTGGACATCCAGGCGCCTTATCAGCTCCGATAAACCACGACACACACCTCTGGCTCACCTTTGACCCTCCACATACAACCCCATCTCCACCAGATCAATTGTTTATCGCCATCAGATGCTGCAGTTGTGAAACCGTATCAGAGCGGCAGATTATTATTTATCTTTTTTTTTTTTTTTTACAGCATGAAGGCGCTTCGGCTTCCCTGAGAGAGATCCAGCAAGCAAACTGTATTGATTATTGCTGCTGTTCAGAGATAGTCTCCGTTGGGTCATCTGAGATAAAGAATGGAAGAAGAAGAAGAAGAAGTATTAGATGGCTGCTGGAGATCAATTTCAGATTTGCTGAACATAAATAATGAACCGTGGTCTCGTGGTTGGACTGTAAACCAACCTGTTAACTAAAACTAAGCAGCTCAGACATAAAACGCTGATATAAATATGCCCACACATGCTCTCATTCTTGCTGATAAGGTGGTTCGGGCTGATAGAAGCGGAGATGTCTTATCTGAAAGAGAGTCTGAAGCCAGGAATCTTAGGAAACATCTCTGCAAGAAGGAACAGTCACGACGCACTTGAGTCAACAACCACAGAAACTTCCTGTGACATGAAACCACAGCAGCACAATTGAAGAGTTCATTTGCAAAAACAGACGACTCCAGTTTTGTAGATTTTCTGAAATCTTTTGTTGTTTGCTTGAGATGATATCAATCACACTGGATTTGACTCAGTAGACACGATAACAGTAGAGATAACTTAAGTTTGACTGATGTTGTCGCAAGTAGACGATGGAGCAGTGGGTTTTCTGAAGGTTTTCTGAAGGTTTGTGAAGATGGAGTTATCTGTTTTTTGCAAATGAACTCTTCTGCGAGCCCACAAAAACGACTCCACAAATGCAGTCCGTCCACGCTCCTCTCCATCTCCCCTCCATTCCCCCGCATTAGAATGAGTAACAGCCGGCTCGTTAGGAGGAGACGGGGATTGAAGGAAACTGCAGCCGATTCTTAAAGTGCTTCAGCTTAATGCGCAGACAGCTATAAGCGCTGTGATGTCTTTATTACATGCAGATACATGTACAGGTGAGGAGCAGCGAGGTAAAGCTGGACTTTATGGCACGAACACACTGTCCCGAAGGAATTATCAAGTGGACCCTGTCCTCTGGTCCACACACACACACACACACACACACACACACACAGGGTATATAAAGGGTTGGGCCCCTGAACCGACTCTGCTAGTTTGACAAACAGACCTCACGGCAAACCACCGCCTCCACTCACACACACACTCCAAAATGCCTGCAGACTACAATGGACGCTGGGAGATGGTGACCAACGAGAACTTCGAGGAGGTCATGAAGGCCCTCGGTGAGTTGCACCCTCACGACACGCGTAAGACGGCAAAGAGTGTGTCTCCTAAAGCTCTTTAAAAACAGGGATTAATTAGAGTGCTACGTTCAAAGACACAGCCAAGCAGAGAGGAAGGTTTGAGCAGAGGATCTGGCACGGGCGTGACAGAAAGGATGAGAGAGCGGCGGCATGAGAGGGAAAGATAGAGAGGAAAAAAAAGAGGAGTGCTGTGGCACTGCTTCATTTCCTCATTGAGCTGCTGTCAGACCAAGTTAACCTCCACTCTGTGAGCGGTTGCCGTCTGTTACCACGCCAAATAAATATTGATTCACTCCTTTCTGCATTTTCATCCTCCCGATCCGCGGAGAAGGAAGACAGATTCCGACCCCGGATCAGGCAGCGGGCCAGCGCGTCGCTTCAGGAGAGGGGGGCGAATAAAAAGAGGCTCTCCTGCTTTTGGCGCGTCATTGATCAGGCCCAGAAACACTTTCATTATTCACGACTCCATCTGCAATTCATAAAACAACCCCGGTACACTCGGCTCGCACAAAATCCGGGAAATCCTCAATGCCTCCACCTCATTTCCATCGAGCGGATAGGAAAATGACATCCTTATGGAAATGGGTCAAAAATATCATTTAGATGGGTAAATATAGGGGCCTCATCTGTAAGAGTGATGGGAAGAAATTGAATTTTCACTTTAGGGCAAATGGGATATGAATATCTAAACGGTCAGGACGGTTGGTTCTCTTTGGCAAAGCCCAACGCTGAACGGGGCGGAGAAACTCATTTAGGCCTATTCTGACTCGGAGCAAGGTCGTTTTTAAAGGGTAAATGAGACTGTCAAAGGGACCAGCAGGATAGGAATCATAATAAGCGGCCTGTGGTCTTGTGTGTGCTTCTGCGGATGTGTGCGCAAAACACACCGAACCGGGAGGAGAAAAATCCTTCACCTCTCCGTAAAACGCCTGTAATTTATTTTGCATGTGCAGACATCGACTTCGCCACCAGGAAGATCGCCAGCCACCTGCACCAGACCAAAGTCATCGTCCAGAACGGAGACAAGTTTGAAACCAAGACCCTGAGCACCTTCAGAAACTACGAGGTCAACTTCACCATCGGGCAGGAGTTCGAGGAGCACACGAAGGGCTTGGACAACCGAAAGGTCCAGGTGGGACGAGCTGCTGAATGTCTCTCAGAGCTGAGCAGTTGGAATGATTACAGCTGATGCATTAACTGCTGTGTGCTGCTGCTGTGACAGACGCTGGTTACCTGGGACGGAGACAAGCTGGTGTGCGTTCAGAAGGGCGAGAAGGAAAACCGAGGCTGGAAACACTGGATCGAGGGAGACATGCTTCACCTGGTGAGAAACCGAGGGTGACACATTGGGGGGTTGTAAAAGTTTTGACACATTTTTTAGGCACTGAGGTTTTCCTGTGCTGCAGATTCAATCTCTCGAGCTGGTTAAGCAAACGCCCAAAAGCAGTTTCCTCGACGGAAACTTTCCCCGTTACAACACACTGATTGGTCTCATATCTGCAGGCAATAACAATAAAACAACAACATAAATGGCTTAAGCACACATATCATCTGGCTGATTACGTAATAATCGTCTGTTGGACTCGAGGTCTCAAGGTCTTTGGCTTCTCTTGCAGGAAATCCACGTCCTCGACAAAGTCTGCCACCAAGTGTTCAAGAAGACCCAGTGAGACGGGAACCCACTTTATCTGAAACCAAACGTCCTGCTGCGTGTTCTGTCTATTTATGATGTAATGGTGAAGACCTGGAATAAATTAATTTAATACAACTGCTCTGTTTAATTGTCCTTTTCTATTATTATTATGATAATAAAGCATGCACTATGTACTCCTCTGAGTCCAGTAACGTCTTAATATTTATCTATTTCCATTAACAAATACACACACACAGAAAATACCCTCATTTTAGACTTATATTTCGAGAGATGTTAACTTGTACAGGTTTTTTTAAATAAATTTTTGGCCGTATATATATTTTACATGCAGGTTAAACTAAAAGAAAACACCTTCATTAGGAGCTACGTCTATTTTTTTTTCCATATATATCCCAGCTAGCAGGCTAACACTATAGCTAGCGTAATATTTTTGCCTTTTCTTACTATTGTTTGTTGGGTTTGTAAATGTTTTAAACAGTTAATAATACACAGTTTGCTGCTGGTTAGCTTTTATTCTGTTATTATATTCAGTGACGGTGAACATAATTTATCTGAAATCTCGTCTACAGCTTCCTTCTGCTAAACTTTCTCGTGCTACAGAAACAGTATTTGTTATTTTTTGGTTCAAACTTATAAAGAACCCTCCTTATGACTCTCAGGTAAACAGCAAATGAGCGTTTCTATGTGTAGAAAACAACACAGAGGTTCGTTTTATTCTGAAAAATAAAAAATAACTTAATAATAAAAAAAAATCTGCACACCTCAGAGTCACTTTATTTACTCAGAATAGTCAAATTAATTTTGTGCTGTTTAAATATTAATGCAGCTATTCAAGAAATGGGCGGAAATTAAAAGAAAAAATAATAATAATTTAAAAATCACTTTATGTAGCGGTTTAAGATGGAAATTATTCTGACTTACTTTGCATTTTTGAAACTGTAATTGTAATTAAAATCATCTGAAACCTTGGATGTTTGTGCAAACTTATGTAAAGACTGAATCACACGCTGCAAAATACACAAACTAAATTCAACATAAATGTGCCAGATTTCAGTGTGACAACAGACCAAAGCATCACTTGTTTGGTAAATTGCAGAGACGCTAAAGTAAACCTGGTGGTTCTGGAGGTGGTTCTGGAGGTGGCCTCAGTGTGTTCTCGGAGCTCTCAGGTACAACGTGTTCTTCTGCTGTTCCGGATCTTGAGCCGCTCCGACAGGAAGAGCTTCAGGATCCACGTAGCCAAAAGCAGCCGCGTCAAGTTACACAGCGTCACAGGGTGACTCACCGGAAACAGGGAACTGCGTCTACAAAATAAAAGCTTCACATTAATGCTTAAACTACTCTGTAAATCTAAGTATTGGAAGAATCTACCTCCAGAAACCAGGCTTCTAAGTTAGTAATGTCTTTTAAGCTTCTTCTTGAAAGCATACTTTTACTTTCTTTCATTGGATTTTATTGTTTTTTTAGTCCCGTGTTGGTTTTATATCCCAGGTTGTGTTTTGTAAAATTTTAAATTGTAATAACTTTATGATTTGTCTGCTTTGTTTTGCTGCCTGGTAAAGCACTCTGTAATCTGGATTGAAAACTGCTCTAAAAATAAAGATTAATATTGCTGACATATGTGTATGCAATTTAATATTTTGTCACGATCCACTGACTGTAATTTACTGTATGTATAGTTTGACCTTTATATAGACAAAGTATACTGTCCATATGTTGTTTATAAAGCTAAAAAGACAGGTTTTAGCTAACACTGTTCTTGTCAGTTTTTGGATTTGTTTAAAAAAAACTTGGCTAATTAATGGTTTTGCTTTTTATTTTTGATTACATTTGTTTGCAGTTACTTTACAATTGATCGTTGATGATGAAAACTACATAAACAGATATAGACTATATTAACGTAGTTAGTTTAGTTCTATATTTATCTATTATTTTTTTCTGCACATATATGGTTTTACACAAACTTTTTTGTACTTCAATTTTTGTTTCCTGATTTGTACGCTACTTTGAGCTTTATTTTGAAAGTCAATACCAGAAAACATGTGGTTGCTATTTGTGCGGACTTGACGACAAACGTTCCTCCGCTGAGCTCCGCCGGAGAAGCCCGACGAGGGCAGCAGGGAGGCCGGCTTCTTCACTGGACAGCACCGCGGACTCTCACTGGAAACATGGTAGGTGGAACAAACAAACACACTTTAAATGAAGGATCATAATCACAACTTTGTCTGTTTGTTAGTTTGTTGTTTAGTACTTGTTTAGTCAGTGCGAACAGCAACTTTGATCCATGAACTCTTCCAGCTGGAAACTTGGTGCAGAACTCAGTAAAAGCAGGAACCACATGCAGCAACACCAAAAACTGCTCTGGGACCAGTTCTGAACAAACTTTTTGGTTTTGCTTGAGGAACATTTTGAACAAACTGTGGATGTGTTAAAGCAGAGAAATGAAAGTGTCAGAGTCAGTGGCATGAAGAGACCTGAAAGGATCCAGTCATTCTGGAGCAGGCATGCATATGAAATGTGGTCTGAGCAGAGCCAGCAGACACACCCCCTCCCCAACTGTCTGCTCAGACCACGTCCTGGCTGCTCTGAGAGAAGCTGATTAGATAATTAAAGCTGATTTATATCCCTCATCTCACTCCCATTGTCTCCTCCTCCTCCTCCTCCTCCACAGCCTCTGCGGTTGGACATCAAGCGGAGGCTGACGGCTCGCTCAGACCGGGTCAAGAGCGTGGACCTGCACCCCTCCGAGCCCTGGATGGTGGTCAGCCTGTACAGCGGCACCGTGGTGGTCTGGAACCATGAGACGCAGGTCAGACCTGTTGCGTCACCTTCAAACACACAATCAGTCCATCCTCTTCTTGCTGCCGGTGGCCTGATGGAGATGCAGTGTGACAGCGTTGTTGGTTTAAATCCTGTGTGCAGGCCATCGTGAAGACCTTTGAGCTGTGTGATCTGCCGGTCCGGGTGGCCAAGTTCGTAGCCAGGAAGCACTGGCTCATCGCTGGAGCAGTGAGTATTTTAACTCAAACGTTTATTTACCTGAACTGTAGGTGTGGACCGATCAGTACTAAGTGAAGCGGTCTGATCACTGATGGTTAAAACCAGGATACATGTGGAGTTAAAATGAAAAGTGCAGAATACATCAAACTCCAACACCAGCCCATTCATTTGTTTTCCCCACGTTTGATTCAGGCCTTGTCCACACTAATGTGGGTGTACATCTTCGCCCTGATTCTGTCCAACAACAGTCATTTTATACACCAACCGTGTGCACATGAGAACATAAAAACATTTACCAACATGAGAGAAGAACAGTCGCTCCCTTTGTTGCAGACTTTAAGCTGACGTAGAACACTTTGGGTAAAGTGGTGCAACAATCTCAAGTTGTTTTTGGTTTAGTTTTCTTATATTATATACTGAATGGAGAATTCTGTTTTCGGGGTCTTGCTCAGGTGTGCCTTAGTGCAGCTGATCTTCAGAACAGGAGCCCAAAACCGTAACCACATGCTCATTACACAAAGCAACAACAATCAAGCACAAATTAATGTCTCACATTATTTCACAAACTCGGTTTTACTCGTCCACGTAGATGCACGTGAAGATGAACTTCTGAAGATCTCCTAATTAATTTAATTCAATTCAGTTTTGTTTGGATAGCACAGTTTACAACATGTTTCATCACACAGTGCTTAACATAGTAAGCTACAGATCTTATAAGTTTAAACAGAGAACCCAACAATCCAAAGTAGCCTCTGGACTCCCTCTGAGCAAGCGGTTGGCAACGGTGGGAAGGAACCAAAACCCCCCAAGGGACGAAAACCGACAGAACCAGGCGCAGGGCAGGAGGCCATCTGCCTCGACTGGTTGGGTGAGAGTAGGAATGGGTGAAGTTAAACAGGATAGCAGATGGAGGGCAGCAATAGAACAGAACAATAAATATATCGGGGGTCGGTTAGGCCAGCGGCTGCAGGACATACAGATCCAGAGACGTCCACAGAGAGAACAAGTGCAGGACCTCCAGGGAAACACAGAGTTATATTATAACTTAGAAGGCATATAATTCTAGTTTGATTGACCTAAAACACCATTTGTGTGTTAGTTTAGCAAAATATCCATATTACTGTGGACGAGGCCTAAAAGAGAACTTTTTACATTCATCCTTTGGTGCTGGTTGGCTGTTCCTCTCATGGTGTAACCAATCAGATGGAGCTGTGGACGTGGTGGTCATCGATGGAGCTGCATCAGGGCCAGAGGAGCACATAGTTAAATTCATTTATGTTGTTTCGGGAATCAGTTGTAAAGACAATGTGCTTAATTTGATTGGTGGCCCAGACGTTTTCCACCTGCAGGTGAAGTTAACCCAGTGTGCTTGTCACTAAATCTTCTCTTTAGATTCTCTGACTGCTGCTGGATAAAGCTTTTGTTTAAATGCACTTCACGCCACACCTACCATCTCATTATCTGTCCGCAGGATGACATGCAGATCCGCGTGTTCAACTACAACACTCTGGAGAGAGTCTACATGTTCGAGGCTCACTCTGACTACATCCGCTGCATCGCCGTGCACCCCACGCAGCCCTACATGCTCACCAGCAGCGGTACGACACACACACACACACACACACACACACACACACTCTCACACACACACACACACTCACACTGGTGGTTAAAGTGGGAGTTTGAAGCTTCCAACTTCTAACCACAAAGGTACCGCACAATGAGCTCATTGTCTTTGAAGTGTTTGACGTGTTGTGTGTCTGTGCGGTCAGATGACATGTTGATCAAGCTGTGGGACTGGGACAGGAAGTGGGTCTGCAGTCAGGTGTTTGAGGGCCACACGCACTACGTCATGCAGATTGTCATCAACCCCAAAGACAACAACCAGTTTGCCAGCGCCTCTCTGGACCGAACCATTAAGGTGC